TGTGTCTATTCTTTGCGACCGTTTGGGTGATTGAGCCCCTTGCCAAACAGATCGAGTGGACCTTTCGAAGCCACTGTGTTTGCCTTAGCCCCATCGCTGACGGAGGTGCCGGTGGCGCAGGTACCTCACAGTTCTTTGTTCTTGTTTTTTTCATGTCCGAAATGTGTTTTTTTCCGCTCAGTCTTGGCAAAACGGGCGCCATGCTTGCTGGAAGTCTAACATCCCCACTGTTCTTTGCCTCTTCGTGGTGCCAAGGAACTTCAAACATCCCGAACTAAGTTAGGCAAACATCTCTGGCGGATTAACTTAGTCCTGCATGATATGGTTGATATGGTTCATTTTGGATATCTTTTAGACTTCTTGGAGTCTTGCAGGTCTGGAGTGGGAGCAACTGCCAGGCATCGGGCTGCCCAGCTCTTGTCCAAGAGCCGTTGGGGTTCAAACCGCCACGGACCGAAAGGAATAGCGTTGAGGTGGGGCTGGGGCTGCGGCTGCGTGACTGTGGAGTGTACCCAGGTGATGGCAGGTTAAGGGAAGTTGTTGTTGATGATTTGAATCAATTTAAGCCACGTGTTGATCAGGCATTGAAGTGGTGGCAGTGTTTCGCTCAGCTGGAGTCGCAGGCTGTCCTGCAAAAGTAGAGCTGGGCATAGGCATTCATTTGAATGTCACTTGCATGGCCATCGCAGCTGTTTAGGCTTGCAATTCCATGGCGGTTCCAACATTATGATGTTGGTACCGTGGGTGCTGTTTTAGCAGAGTCGTGGCTGTGTGGCCCACCAAAACATAATATTCATGCTGGTGCTGCTGTTTTCCTGGCTGCGACTAGTTCCAGCCAAGCAGTGCTTTGCGGATGGTATCCCTGAGTTTGGGCAACTTGGTGATTGCAGATTCGACTGTTGACTCTGTAGGATTTGCCTCGGGTAAAGAACCATATGTGTCGCCATGCCCCATGTCAATGTTTGGCATGCCAAAAACAAGGGCAAAAGATGAAGCTTGTGGTGTGTGCCCTTTTTCTCAGTACGGGTGTAGATTAATAGACATGTTTCAGAAACCACGCTGGACCAAAGTATGCGACTGCCGCAGTAGGTTGATTTGTACAGGTCACCGGAGAGAAAGACAGCTGCTGTGTCCTCGCTGTCCTTCGTTCCTTGGACCAGCCGTGTCCATGGTCTTCCTTGTTGAGCGTTTTTGTTACCCTCCCAAGACCATGGAGTCGACGCAAACCGACGAACTGCCGAAGCTGCCTCGACCGAAGATCCAGGGATCCACGGAGCTTGACTGGACAGTCTAGAGTTGAAGTCTAAGCCAAGGATCCTTGGCATGTAGATCATTTAGGGATCATTGGTTTTCGTATGTTTTCGTTGTTTTTACTTTCAAGTGATAGGTCCTCCATTCGGCATTGTCCTGTCATAGAATGGCCTCACTGTCATACCTTGTTGCACCCAGAAGTCAATTGTGCGCAATTGTGCGAACATGTGCAGAGCTTCGTTTAGTTTACAATTTCCTGACTTGTTGTTCAACACACTGCTTGTGCCCCGAGTCTGTAGAAATCTATGACACTGGAATTTTACAAGATCTATGCGTTTTGAAAGATCTTACACTCCAGGCGACGCGAACTGGTCAATGATGGACAAGTCTATCCGGTTGGCCTCTTTGTCCTTGACTATGCGGCACAACACGCCACAGCAGAGTTGGTAAACATTTTGCTGCAGGAGACCGGGTCGAAGGTGTTGTTCTGAACTCGGAACCCAAAACGTTTTGGGAAGGAAAACGGTCCTCCAACGTTCTTGGAGGTGTGTTTTGTACCGCCCTGAACACTGCTGGTTTTTCCCAGGTGCGCCCCCCAAAATCATGTGCTCTATGTTTTTGCGTGCTCAGGTCTTGGAGGGACACTTGTGCAAAAAATAACATATATGAATTATATCGACTTAAAAACACGGAAGTATTCAACAAAGAGGCTTGTTTGGCCTGCAAGCCCTGCAAGATGTTTGATTATGTTTCCCAACCATCAGAGGTAGGGTCGGTAGGGTAATCAAAACCGGATGGCTGGACAGCTACAACACTTTTCGGGCATACCCCAAGCAACAGATGGCGTATTCATTTGGAAGGGTTTTCTATTGTGAGCCTGAAGGATGCAAGTGCTGCAGGCAGTTGCCAATTTTATTCCTCCTTCACAATCAAACCTTAAGGATGAGCAACTTTTTCTGAGGTTTGTTTGCTTTAGTTCTCGAGCAAAGGGGGCGCTGAAGCGCCGCTTAAGCGCCGCTGATTCGTGAAAGCAGCTTGATCCGGCCCGTGGAACGGCAGAAAAAGACGCTTGGCCTCCCAGGTGTCACAGGCACCAAAGGCATTCCCTTTTTCAATCCTTCACTCTTCGGGTCCTCAACTGGATCTTGCTGCAACACCCCAAACCACCCGGTCTCGTGGCCACGCGCACGTGTTAAAAACCCGGGCTCGTGGCGGTGGCCAAGCGGCGCTGGTCTTTCCCGTGGAGGAGTGTCATTCTGATCCCAGTTGAGTGTGTATAGTTCAAACAGGTAGACACCCTCCCGAATTCCTGGAAATAGACCAGTTTGGTCCCCCCTATTCGTACACCAAGTTGGTTTGAAGATGTTTGAAGGAGGTGTCGCAGATGCTGAGATGCTCCATAGATGCTCCTGAAAGAAAGATGGCCTGTCTAGCTCGTGTGCCAATTCGCGAGAAGTTTTGGCTTCAGGGTCCCGCATCCTTGCATCAGGAGAAGATGGGCTATGTGGTGCAGAAGATGGTCAACGGTTCATTGGCTTCTCACGCGTTCTTCGCCTTGGCCGGTTGTGCCAGACCCACCGACTACTCAGATCGTGGATGCAGCGAAGAGAGGACCACGCGTGCACATATCAGTGTAGAAGGATGGACTGCAGGTGCCGTGGGGGGGAGGTGATGGGATCAAAGAGGAGCTTTGACTTGGGTGGTTTGGAACACTAGTCATCACGCTCCTCGAAACTGACCATGCAGAAGGCCCCGAGTTCGGAAGACCATCTTCCGAAGACCAAATAGAGGGTGGACCGGAGGAGTCCAAGAAAGAGGCCAGCAAAAGCCGAAGTCTCTCCTCGAAACACCCAGGAATCGACCCTGATTTTTGGCGGCCGAATATGGGTTCGTTCCACCTTCATGAGCGAACCATGAGCGAAGGGGAGCAGTTTTTCTCAAAGTCTCATAGCCTCGAGCAGTTTGTTTTTCAGAAAACGAAGTTATGCGGGTGTGGTTTTTACGCGTTTTTGTGATTTGTGGTTTTCTGCGTCTTTTTTGAAAATGTTAGTTGTTTAGAAGAACGTGTCTAGCAAAAATGTCGACTTGTAATCTGTCAAATTTGTCATCAATCCTATTCAAACATACTAGTTATCATGATTCCCACACAGAAGTCCATCAACCATCATCTATCAGCAAGTCCACGACATCCCATCATACATCATCAGGTCATCACCTCTATGAGGGAGATCTGGTTTCCAAGACCTCCAATTTCAATGAGTTCTCAATCTCCAGCAACTGGGGCCTGGGCCTGGGCTTCTCTGGGGGGGGGTACAAATTCCAATCAGTCATCCAGGTCCAGTACTACTAAGCAAGTTTCTCAACTTTTGTTGGGCCTGGTGGGCACATTGTGCTTTAAGATAATGATCTTCTCTCCACTTCATAAAGAATGTGGAGGGAGAAGCCCAAAAAGTGCTACCTTTGCAACAATGAGAATGCTTATGGGCAAGGAAGGGTAGAGTCGGATCCAGAGGTTGTTTAAAAAAAGAAAAGTTGGTTTGTTTGGGAAACAGGAGCACAAGAACATATCTAGACCGCAACCGTGAAAACTCTTTCAAAACATGACACAATATAGAAAAACACAACAAATAACGCGTAAAAACCACACCCGCATAACTTCCAGCTCTCCAGAATTTCACATTTTTTGGGCCAGTCCAGAGTTTTAGGGCAATTGAGGGAGCCAGATCCTCTAAAAGATTCCTGGCAAATGGACCCAGTTGAATGCAACGAAAAAGCTCGGAGTTGGGTATGATCCCGCAAGTGCTTCCATGGTGCTTTGGAGGTTGCAGGATGCTGTCCTCCGACATGTGGCCTAATTCCTACGTACTTCCCCTACAGATGCGAAAACACGGTCGTTCTTTCCGGGTCAAAAAGGCTTGCAGCTTTCAAATTGGAAACCCATGTTGTTCATGTCCTGCAGGTTATCCAAAGGAATGGCAGTTGCTTCAGCGAGATTACCCATCAGTTGCTCCCAGGACAGTCATTTTCCACAGCGATTCTGCAGGAACTTGCTCATGTGTTTGACGAGGTGAAGAAGGCTGACTAATCAGTCTTGACCCTGCGACGTGTGACGCGAACTCGCGAACTCCTCACGACATGTTTGTCACCTCACCCGAGAGAACCTGGTCGTGGCCAGGAACTTGGGCAGCATGGGGTACGTTGGAACCACGTCACTCTTTATTCCATCACACGTGCAGGAGAGACTTGAGAAGACAGCGCTGTTTTCGAGCCATGGGTCTTGCATGTGCAAAAGGGATATGGATGGATACAGTGTCCAAGGATTCATCAAGGGATATTTTGTGGTGGTGGCCACTTTCCATTGTCTATTCACTCAAAGACCGGACCCAAAAACACAGCACCTGTTGGTGAAGTTTAAACGTGTTATATACACCTTGATTTGATTCGAACTACCAGTTTGTGTTGCTTTGTTCCATAGCGGTGCAATAGCAGTGCAGTTGCACTAAGATTCATTAAGTGTTAAACTTTCATGAGAATCCAGTGCAGTCTATGTCATCCGGTACACAGTAGATCACACGCTATGCACACAGGCCCAAACTCGCTGTGAAAAGGAGCAGCGCACGTTGTTTCATGGTAGCGGAGCTCTGACGGGCAGCCCCCGTCAACTCCAGCGGAGACCCTTTTGGGGGACAAACCACCGGGGATTGACGGTCCACTGAAATCCCGAGTGGACTAGTATCCGGGTCGCACTCATGGGGGACACAGCCGAGCCCGACGGCACTGGTGGGGCTGCGGCGGCATCCAATGGTGGTGCCCTGACTGGGGTGCAGGGGCTGGTTCAAGCCTTGCACGGCTTGATCGATGTCCAGAGGAGCACGGGGTTTACGAAACACTTGAAACCCCCTTCGGTGTTTGCCCCAGAGAACCGTGGTGACGAGCTCAACAAATGGATGGATTGGAGATTCCAGTTCGAGACCTTCATAGGAGCTGTTGACCCATCCATGCTGTCCCACATGAAGCAAGCCGAGAAGGAAGAAAACTCGATCAACGATGGACTTCCCTCGGTCAGGCCCCAGTCAGAAAGATTGTACTCCCTCCTGACAGGCCTCATGAAACAGAGACCCCTTAGACTGGTGAGAGGTGTGGCCAACCAGAATGGTCTCGAGGCCTGGCGAGTGATCACCAAGGACCTTCAACCGAGGACAAGGCAGCGCTCACTTGCACTCATCCAGTCCCTGAACAAGATCCAGTTTGACGGGACAAAGACCGTGACCGAGCAGCTGCCACAGTATGACTTGATGGTCAGGGAGTATGAGCGCAGTGCAAACGTCACATACCCGGACGACCTAAAGATTGCCTCGGTGTTGTCAGCCCTTCCTGCCACCCTCAGGCTTCATATACAGATGACGCTGCAAGATGACACTACGTTTGAGGATTTGAGGCAGCGCATTGAGATGTATGAGCAGGTGAGTCAACGATGGTCGAGCGATGGAGGCCTGCAGATGGGTGTGAAGCCTTTGATGGATCAAGGTGATCAAGGAGGACCCATGGAGATCGATGCCGTGTGGTCGAAAGGAGGCAAGAAAGGTGGCAAGAAAGGAAAGAAGGGCAAAGACAAAGGAAAGAGTTCAAAGGGCAAGACTTCATGGTCCAAAGATGGAGGCAAGAAGGGAGGTAAGACTTCGAAAGGCTCAGGAAAGCAGGATGGCAAGAAGGGCAAAGGTGGCAGTGGAGTTTGCCACAATTGCGGAAAGCCCGGGCATTTCGCCCGGGAATGCTGGAGCCCAAAACGTGTGAACAAAGTAGAAGATCATGAAGCACCAGAGTTGAGCAAGGCGGCAACAGGTGGACAACCCGGCAAAGATCAAGGCCAGACGCTTGGCGCCTCAGTCACTCCATCTTCCCACTCCACCTACCGGGCAGGAGTCAGGAGTCTGAGATTGGTCACGCCAACCGGGCTGGCTACGATGGAGATCTTTGACCTGACGGAGGATGACTCGCCTGAGGAGTTGATGGCGGAGGACGAGGATGAGTCAGCCTTGCAAGTGATGGCCATCCGGGAGTACGACAAGAATCCGGATGAGGCGGAGGAGATCTTCTACGACTGCCAGAGCAGTGAGGAGAGTGAGCCATTGTGTACTCCATCGATGGAAGATACACGAAGTGATGCCCTACGAGCCCAATCCGAAGATGACAAGGGCCAAATTCAGAAAGTGTGCATGGTGAGGAACGAGACTCCCAATGTCGTGATGACGCTTGATTCGGGAGCAGATGTGTCAGTGGCGCCAGAGCAGTACTACGCCCTGGGACTACCTGGCCAGCAACGTTCCATTTGCATGATGGATGCTCAAGGAGGTGCCATCAAGAGCGCTGGAAACAGGCGACTTCGACTTCAAGCCTACACCAGAGCAGGCGAGATGGTGGAATTCGTGGAACAGTTTGCCCTGGGTGTGGGTGTAACGCACCCGTTGATGAGTTTTGGACGGTTGCTCAAGCAAGGCTGGGTGCTATCTCGAGACAGTCAAGGCCTTTACGTGGAGCACAAGGAGAAAGGCCTGATGATCCCAGCGCGGCTTGAGCGAAATTCATTGGTCATGGACGTGAGAGTTTGTGCAGTCCGGGCTGAGGACAATGAGACACAGGAGATGGAGGCCATGGCTGCGAATGACAGGGACAGCCAAGAGGTTGCACTGAACGTGGCAGCAGAATCCCACTCCATGGACAGAGGAGTGAAGAGGAGTGTTGAGAAGAAAGAGAAGGAGGAGATGAATGATGAGGAAGACCAGCAGATGTTGGCCTTGATGCAAGAATTATCTCAACAGGTTGAGCCGGATGCCCCAGCGGATCATGTCGAGGAGACCCCTCCAAAGAAGTTGAAAGGTGAAGGAGTCGAAGACAACCAGAGATCACCAGGCTACACCACAGAGGAGTCAGGGGAGGTCATTGTGGAGGCCAGCAGCAGTGAAGATGGAAAGGTGCAAGCCCGCATGGCGAGATGGCAGAATTGGAAGTTGCGGAAAGGCATAGTGAAGGAGGAACCCATGGAGTTGTCGGACAGCCCCGTAGCGGATGTGATCGAGGACAGTCACGTGTTCCCGGTTAGAGGAGAAGCAACAAGCTTGTATGGGTTCATCTCAAGAGAACTGGCACTACTGGAGAAGATGCCCGGCTGGCATGCTCTGCCCAATGGCATCGTTGTCCATTCCAGTCCTCAAGCAACTCACTTTCTGGACCCGAGCATGGCCTTTGGTCCAGAATGGTGTGGACGGATGACGTTGTTGAAGAAGAAGGACAACAGTGGAGCATGGGAACAGGTGGAAAGCTTGGCAAACTATGTGGACACTCCATTGCCATACCGACCATTGCCGGGAGGACCTCGGGCGGCCTTGACCTTTGTTGCGCCGGGACTGATCCGTGACTACTTCGTGATCAGCTCTGAGGTCCAGTGAGCCAGTATCCCTTGTTGAGCGGGGAGCCATCCTCGTGGCCGGACGATGAGAGGGATGAAGAAGGAGGCGAACTGCCAATGTTGGCCGCTGGAAGTGGTGGACGACCAGAGATTGTGGAGGATGTGGCCTTTGTGGACCCTGATGAACTGCGGATCCAAATAGATGAAGCCTGGTTTGACAAGGAGACAAAGTTGAAGGATTTGCAAGAAGTTTGCAAGCAGTTGGGCTTGGCAACATCCGGTTCCAAGATCAAGGTGTTGCGACGACTCCAAAGCTACAAGCATCACCAGGAGGAGAAGATGGCGTATGAGGTCGCCCAGAGATTGTTCAGTGAGAGCAGACGAGAGGCCATTCCGCTGACAACACCAAAGCTGCCAAGCCGTCACGAGCAAGAGCTTCATCAACTCACGCACTTGCCTTTTCAGCCCTGGTGTCAGCAGTGCGTCGCTACTCGATCGAGAGAGGATCCCAGGACAAAGGAGGATCAGGCTGACCGGAAGGATCGAGGGAGACCCGTGATCAGCTTTGACTACGGGTTCACATACACCACTGGTGCTCCTGAGGACCGACAGTGGGGCACAGCTTTGTATGTGGCAGAATCAGAGTCCAAAGCCACCATGTGCATCCCAGTTCAAGCAAAAGGGAGTGCCTCGCTGAAGCAAGTGACGGAAGAGCTCACCAGATTCAGCATGCAGGTCTGCAATACACAGCCCATCATTTTCCAGTCTGATGGGGAAAGAGCTACACGTCAGATCTTGAGAGCCATTCAGCATGCACGAGCTACACTTGGCCTGACCACGGAGATCAGAACAACATCCCGAGATCAGCACGCATCCAATGGCCAGGCAGAGCGGACAGTGCAATCTGTGAGGAGGCTGGCGAACACCCTACGCCAATTTGCTGAGGAGAAGACTGGAGTCAAAGTGACGGGAGATATGCACTGCTATCCGTGGAGTTTTCGGCATGCTGCATGGCTGATGCTCAGGTACAGAGTGATCAATGGTGCTACGTCCTTTGAGGTGCTGACGGACAGGCGCTATGTGGGCAAGGTGGCTCTCTGGGGAGAAACAGTGCTCTTCAAGGACGTCACAGCCTTCAAGCACAAGGGTGAGCCCGTGTACAGGAAAGGAGTATGGGTCGGAAAGAGTTCCTGGAGTGACAGTCATATCTGCTTGACACGGAGTGGTGCAGTTGAGGCCCGATCTATTCGACGCCTACCTGACCAGTTCGACGGCCAAATGTTGATCAACTGCCGAGGTCTTCCATGGCAGTACTCTGTGCAAGGCATCCTGATGAAGACAAAGTTTGCAGCACGTCAACGACTGGCAGATGCGGCAGAGGATGCAGTGGGCGATGAGCAGGTGGAGAAGGAGGCCAAACTGATCGGAGAGCAAGTGGCTGTTGGCATGTACGGCCATGGACCCATTGCAGGACCGAACACACCAGGTGTTCCTCCAGATGGGTACCCGAAGACTCCAGGTAGGACGCCCATGGCACCAACTCCGGCACCAAGGACAACAGCAGCACGAACACCAACCATTGTGCCGGTTCCTGCAACACCAGCAACAGCAGCTGCACCCAAGACACCAGCAAGGCACGCGCCGGCAGGTGACAAGAGCAGCAGACCATTGGTACCTCGAGAACTCCCTCGAATCCCACTGGCAGCAGATGATGACGAGAGCCCAAAGAGAAAAGTGGTAAGGTTGCCAATTCCAGAGGCCATGAGAGGAGAGCCAGCAAGGAATTTCCCACCAGGACCTCACGAGGTGGAGACAAGTCCAAAGAGACAAAGAATGGAAGAAGTTGTTGGGAACCTTGCCCCAGTGACACCTCCACTCGGAACGAAGCGAGAGTATGCTCTGCCTTGGGACGATGAAGATGATGAAAAGCGGAGGATGAGCCCGAAGAGGAGGATCCAAAGTGTCCAAGAGGAATTTCCTGGCGGAGATGAGATGGTGGCTGAAGAGGTGTTGCAACAGCAGCTAAATGATGCCAGTGATGATGAAGATGTCGAGATGAGCAAAGGAAAGCCTCCGGAGGTCAATGAGGAGGAGCTGATGAAGCTAGATGCGGAGGCATGCAAGCATGAAGAAGAACGCCTTGAGAAGATGGGTGTTCTTGAGAAGCTGAAGGAAGGAGAAGTTGCTGACGAGGATTCATATGTCCTGACGTCAAAGATGGTCATCACTTGGAAGCACCGAGACGAGCAAGGTGGCTGGTTTAGAAGAGCACGCCTGGTTGGGAGACAGTTCAAATGGTCAGTTTTCACAGAAGACGCCTTCGCCCCTACATCAGCTTCAGTGGTGGTAAGAATGCTCCTTCGATTGCAGATGAGGACTGGTCTGGCCCTCTACACATTGGATGTGAAGGACGCATTTCTGCTCATGGACCAGCCTGAAGATGAGAAAGCGATGATCGTGACCGAGAACGGCGCCTACAGGCTGAAGAGAAACCTCCCAGGTCAGAGAAATGCTGCAGCCCAGTGGTTCAAAGGATTCTGCAAGGTAGCAAAGGAGTTCGGACTGATCCAGGATGTGATGCAGCCCACGATGATGAAGAAGCCTGATGGTCCAAATGAGATGAACGAGAATGGCAAGCTCTATCTGACCATCCACGTGGATGACTTGCTGTTGATTGGGCACGAAGCTGAAGTGGAAAAGTTCATCAAGTACATGGACACCAAAGGCTGGAAAACGGAGAAACGTGGGCCATTGTATTCAGGGAGCTTCAACTACCTGAAGAGAGAGATGGAGCTGATCGACAGAGGCATCACAATCCGACCGGACAAGCAGCACATCAAGGAGCTTGCACGACTGACTAAGGTCGAACAAAGGAAATGCAGGTCGACACCCGGAGATGGCAACTTCACCAAGCTGAGCAAGGATGACGACCCTTTGGACTACAGCGAGATCACCATCTACCGGAGTGCAGTTGGCAAGTTGCTTTACATTGCCCCTGATCGACCTGATGTGCAGTACATTGCCCAAGGCCTGGCAGCATTCATGCAGAAGCCTACAAAGAAGAGCTGGCAGGCCATGAGACATGTCAGCTCGTACCTGCTTGGTACTATGGATGAAGGTCTTTTGTTCGAGCATGGACCCAAAGGCCGAAGCATGCTGAACACCGAGGAGAACGTCCACGAGTGGGACATCAACGATGAGGTGAAGAGCATGCTGGAGGTGGTGTGCGATGCTGACTATGCAGGGCAGAGAGATAGCAGGAAGAGTGTGAGCTCAGTCCAGATCTATTTGGACGGATGCCCCCTGGAGAGCTATGTGAGGACTCAACGATCCATTGCCTTGTCGTCAGGAGAGAGTGAATATGTGGCAATGGTCGGAGGCTGCAGTGAAGGACTGTTCATCAAGCATTGCTGGAAGTTCCTGACCAACGAAGATCTGGAGATGGTATGCCGAAGTGACTCATCGGCAGCTCGCTCTTTGGCTGGCCGAGTTGGTGTCGGAAGGACGCGACACATCGCAGCAGGACTCCTATGGTTGCAACAGAAGGTAGGGTCCAAAGAGCTGAGAGTCACTGGAATTCCCACGGCAGTCAACACCAGCGACATCGGCACGAAGGTCTTGAGTAAAGCAAGGATGAGTGGATTGAAATACCTCATCAAGATGATCAATGGAGACGATGAGAAGATTGGCTATGCCGAGTACCAGGAGATAAAGACGAAAGAGGACCTGAAGAAGAACACCGGCAAGCTAGCGAAGACCCTCGGAGCGAATGCAAGAGTTGCAGTGGTGATCGCATTGTCTCTACTGCAAGGGGGTCAAGGGGCAGACACTCAGGAGCATGAGACAGAAGAGAATGAAGGCACGGACACATGGTGGGTTCGGCTGCTGATCACTATGATCTGTTTGGCAAGTGTTGGGGCCTTGAGCTTGGCACGGCTGACTTTGCAGACAGTGCAGACATGGTGCAGCAGGAGACGAGGCCATCGACAACCCGTGCAACGACGTGAAGAAGAGGAGGATGCGGATGACCCGCATGTGAGAAGAGGATTGCAGGAAAGCACCGACCAGCATGAAGAGCCGCACTACGAGAATGACCCTGAGAAGGTGAACATGCAGTGGCAAATAGTTCACCTAGAGGTGGCTGTGGCCGAGCAAGAAGAGAGATTGAAAGAAGCTCGAGAAGAACGTGACCGGCAAGCACGTGAAGTGGTGAGAATGTACAATATGTGCTCTGAGCTGCGCTTCGAGCTTGAAGCAGTGAAGGAAGAGAAGGACAAAGCCCAGAAGAAGGCTATCCAGGTGGCTGGAACTGATGATGAACGAGCTCAAGAAATGGAAAGGATGGCCGAGGACGTAGCCAGGGCATGGGAAATGGTTGAGCTTTGGAAGAAGCGGGTCACGGAATGCCAAAGGCAGGGACAAGATGAACTGAGAAGCCGCCTCCAGGAAGCTAAATTTACTTTGGATCGAAAGATCTGGAACATTGGTAAGACCAGTGTATGTTACCATCAGCCAGGGTGTGGACATCTGGTGAATAGCACCGTGAAGACACTGAAACCCTGCGCACATTGTGTACCGGAAGCCATGGGGACGGTGTTAAACTTTCATGAGAATCCAGTGCAGTCTATGTCATCCGGTACACAGTAGATCACACGCTATGCACACAGGCCCAAACTCGCTGTGAAAAGGAGCAGCGCACGTTGTTTCATTAAGAGTATATTTGTTTGTTATTGGTGACCTGGAGCAACTATATGCTTGACTCTTGATTCTTGCAGGAGTTAGCCTACAACGCCGAAGGCTTGTCGCTTGACTTCTACCGCGAATCTTGGTTTAATGACCGATGAACCCTCACTGAAACGAGAAATTGCTCTAGGCTGTTGCAGGCCCAAAGAACCTCAGTGTTCTTTCGCACTGGCACTCGGATGCACTCGGAGCCGACCCCAATGGGCCCCTCAAACGTCCTGAAAACCGCTTCCATGCCACATGGTATGGCACAGATTTCGGATGAAAAAGTGCTGAGGGTTTTTCGCACTTTTGTTCTTCCTTGCTGCACCAGCAGGATCAGCCTTCACTCAGCGAAGCGCAGGCACAAGCTCGGCAGAGCTCGCATCCGAAAACATGTGTGTTTTATATATTATTAACATATTAATAGGGAAACCCTCCCCGTTCGTCCCCTGGACCAAGGAAAATATATACACCAAAAACATCCAAAAACCATTCGTCGAGGGCCTCCCTATTTCCACACACACCCGTGTATCCTTCCGGACAAGTGGGACATGATGGCACATGCGACCCGCACTACGTGCGCCACCCATTTGTTGTGTTTTGCCCTTGTTGTGTTTTGCTGCTCCTTCTGCTGTTCCTATCCGGCTGCTGTGTGCTTCGTTCCCAACACCGAATTGAGGGTTTTCCACAGCTGGTTTCGTTGCTCCACAGGTGTCGGCTGTACGCTTTAGGCCTTTACAATGCACACCCAAGCAGGACGTCCCCAAGCGCGACGCTCCGAACGTCTCACCGGAAAGCGTGACCGGGCAGCCGATGGGGGATGAGAGGCACACGGATGAGAGGAGGTGGAAAACGGGCACAACACGTTTTTCCAACTTGAACATGAAGGTAGCTGTGTGCAGAAAGCCAAGGACTACAACACTTCGTGGAGACAGCCAGCGCAATTCTTCACCCGGATTGAAAAGATCAACAGGTCCAAGCTGATGGTTTGCGAAGACACTTCCTTGATGAATGTGGAGGTGATTAAGGTGTACCTGGAAATCACTGGCGATCATGAAGGTGTTTCCCAAGGAGGGGCCGCCGACAGAAGATGTTGAGTCCAACAAACCATGATGTAAAGTATAATATATCAGTATATCCATACGTATGGAATACCACCCCAGATGTTGAGGCTTTGAAAGCCTTTGTTGCTTTGTGGGGGACCCTTACTGCACCACGGACAACAGTTCGGACCTCATCAGATACTGTACTTCGTTTGGACCTGCCAGACTGCTTGAGTATATTGTGCGCCATTCATGTTTTTTTCATTTAAGGGTCGGGTTTCGGGAGGTTGTTTGCACGCTAAAAAGCTGTTGGTTACATTACAACTTCCCCCCCCCGCAGAACGTTTTTTACTAATCTTCATATGGGAGTGGCTTTATTGATCCACTAAGTCACTATCAATATACTGCTTCCATGCTTGGCCGCATGATGTTGGTTGTGAGTGCATGTCGTCTCTTGTGAGACGAAAGAGCGTCCAACGGAAAAAAAACAAAACATGCATCCACATGCTAGATGCCCCAAATCTTTCTAATTAATTGGACCAACAGAAGTGGACCCACTTCACGCCGGTGACTGTTTGTTCGAGAGAACACCGGATGGTCTCTTATGACAGGCACTGCAGGTTATTTAGGGGGGAACTTTTCTCGAAATTTGAGCCCGCAGCAAGCTTTGCTGGCATGGATTTCCCCTGGCAATCATGCCACCTGGGCGGCTTCCGCCGGGATGCCCGGATTTGCTGGGTTGACCTCGAGACCTTCGCTGTTGATCCCCACAATTCGACTGGTTCGAAGCATGCCCATCGGAGTCGTCCGAGGGAGTCGCCACGAGGTCCGTGTCCCGAGCTCTACACCTCCACTGTCTTCATACACCAAAAGCAGGATCATGAAGGCTCAAGAGCCCTCACCCATCCCCAGATATATCCAGCGGGTGCACTCATTACGCGAACAAGTTTGTATAACTCTGCACCACCAAGTTCCCGCAAAAGACCCAACCTTTGGCACCACTCGATGGCAGGCAATGAGAGCATCCGTGGCCGATGCTTTGACCAACATTTTTGGTATGCACCTGCTTGCCGGAGCAATGCATCCAGTTGCATTCTTAGCGTTACTGGGGGCACTGGTTGGGGCATCAGCGAAATGCTGCAGAAGGCTGGTTGCCGAACGGGGCAGAACGGGCGAGGAAGGGATTTCAGGAAGAGTGCACGGTGTAGTTGCTGACTTAGCGCACCATTTTTTCTGAAGCAGCATGGCCATGGTTGAAGCGCTGAAATCCATGTATTTTATGCTCAGGCCACTTTGCTGGGCATGCCGTTGGCGTGGGCTACAGCCAATGGCTGGGAGGCATACACTTCCTTGCCAATGGACTACGACGCGGTCTTTTATTGGTGGACACCCGATCCCACCTTTCTCAGGTTGGGCCCGGTCCAAGTTGTTTTGGAGGTGCATGTTCTCGCCCAAAGGATTGTTTCAGTGAATGAGCTCACAACCCTGCGAGGTTGAATGCCAAGACCATCATTTTCCCTGCGCATGATGCGGTTGAGTGGAGCAAAAACATTCGAGGGACCGCTGCGACACGCGTCCAGATTGACAAGTATATCAGTCAGGACTGAATGTGTGCGGCACATGTTCCAAACACAAGAAAAATGATGTCGGCTCAGCTCAGCTCCGCCCATCAGTTTTCTTGCTGCAGTTGGTCCATTCCCATTCTGGTGCAAGTTCTTAAACCATTTTGTGTCACCAGTCCTTTGCAATTCTGGTGTCAGCAAACTGCTTGCAGCACCCTTGGATTAATGATGTTTTGTTTGCACAAGATGCTCTCGTGGGGTTGTTGTTTTTGATCCTTCAAGCGAAGACTTCTGGGTTCGACCTGTCTAGTGTTTCGAGACGTTTCAGTTCAGTGAGGACTTGACTGCACTGGCCCCTGATATTGAAGAGTTCATGAATAATTACCAAGTGGACATCCAGCACGTGGAGAAGATCATGTGCTTGTGTTGAAAACGAGAACGTTGTGTCATGTTTGGCGAGCCATTCGCACAAGCAAGGAGGACTCTGAATTAGTTAACATGATGAAACTAAGCAATCCTGGACTGCAACTCATTTTGGTTTTGCATTTAAGCATATTTACACCATATATATATATAGTTAGCATCTTGGTTTAGCCATGTCTAGCCACTTGGGATGTGCATATTTTTTGTCAATAGAGATGAGGTCTCAGTATAGCTTCTATATAGGTACTTGCCATACACATTTGGCTCAAGTGCCCAACCAGGCGAAAAAGGAGCTTTAGCGCGCGAGCTTCATGTTGAACTAAGGGCTTGAACGGGGCCAGGGCACGCTTTCCATCCGTTCGCAGGTTATCAGCCGTATCCAGACTCCTTCGAGCTGGGTACGAGCTACGGCCTTACACAACACCATCTAAACGCACACGCATCGGATAGATCAGTTACCCTCAGTCACTGAAGATGGACCAATCCGACGCCAGCACTGCATCCTTTGGAGCAGCCGCTGCGGCCGCAAATCGGGTGAGTGCATCCCACAACTCTAGTCCAGGTACGATCGAAGCGGAGACTCTGACAGTGGTGAGAGAAGTTGCGACAGGTAGAGCACGAAGTCGTTCCCCGTCAGCGCACTCGACACCACCGGGGGGGACACCGAGATCGGGCCGTAGCCCTAGAGAGACAAGGAGGAGAACTGACACCGGAGCTGTGAGAGTGCTAGCATTGGAGGATGGGTCAACTGTACCAGTGCCATCGGACAGCGAAGCTGGAGATGGAGCAAGGGCAAGCACCGACAACCTACAACTAGCACGGGCCGATGGAGACCTCAATGCGAAGTGTGCACAACTACTTGCCGAAGTGCATATGTTGAACCACCAAAACGCATGGATGGTCGAATGTGAGCAGAGACAGAACCAGATTATACAACACGAGACCGAAGTCCACGAAGTAGTGATGACACACCTCGAAGAATGTTATGTCGAAGGATATGGAAATCAACGAAGAATCTCCCAACTTACAGAATCCAGAGACTGTTTGCTCTCAGCAGCACACGATTTGCAATACCAGATTGACACTGATCGTGTGGCAATGCGGGATCGTCTCACCCAGTTAGGGGAGTACGCTGATCGCAACAGCGCAGAGATGGTTAGTCAAGTTGTGAACATCGGCACGGAAGAGATCCAGGCTATATCGGCGGAAAGAGATCGAGCCGTAACCGAACTCATGACTGCAGTCGCAGATGCTGAGAACATTAGGGATCTGTATAGACAGGAGTTAGTTGGACTACAAAGGCAGAGTGCCAGGAACAAACACGAATATGCTGAGGAAATGAAGATGAAGGAAGCAATGTATACAAGCAAGATCAAATGGTTATCAGAAGAGAATGAGGAGCTCAACAACTGATCTTATAATCAGGACAATTTCATCATGACCATCAGGGAGCAATTGAAGAGGGCGAACGAAGAGGTGGCACAGGCGAGGATTCAAGGATCCGGTCGACCGTCTCAAACATCCAACGCCGAACTCAAGAAAGCCGAGGTCAAGGTGAACATGTTGGAGGAGGACATTCTACGAAAAGAGAGGATGTTGAAACGTCTTCAGGAAGAATTGATCGAATCAAGTGCAAGTGAAGCACAACTGAAGGTCGCACTGGAGTTGAAACCACAAGACATGGGATCAGAACGCAATGTGGAGAACGAGATGATGACCAAGCTTAGAGCGGAACTTGGACGTACCGAAAAGTCATTAAGGTCCGAGGAGAAAGAGGCGATGGAATATTACGAAGGTATGATGCAGAACCAGCAGGACATGATGGAATTCGAAGCGCATGCAGCACGGCTCAGAGATGAGAGGAATAAGTACCGGAGGAGATACGAAGAGGAGCGCTCGAACGCTGAGAATGCAGCCGCAACCGAGTATGGTGCCGCTTCATCTTCTAGCTCGGGTGGCTCCAAGATATCTCGGAAGGAACACGAGAAGATTAACATCCCTGCATGGCCCAAGATACACGACCTGGAGGTTTGGAAATCTCAGGTCGTAGCGGCAGTCGTGACGGCATCGGGCGACGAAAGATAGGAAGACTGGATCCAGTGGCTCTCGGATGCCTTCAGATCACCATATGACCCATTTCTGCTCGAGACATCAGGCGAAGCAAGATTCGCTAGCATAGATGCTAAGCTAGGCATCACCCTACATACGATCATCCACGCAGCAGGTGAGAGATCTCATGACGTACAATTGAAGGTGAGGCAGATGATGCAGAGACGTGCGAGAGGCACAACTCCTGGAATGGTTAAGGGACGAGAAATGCTAGCGTTAATCGTCGATAGCTTCCGGAGTGCCGACAACGTCGATGTGATGTATGCATCCAAACACTTATTCGACCTAAAGTTCCCTGGAGATAATCAACTATCCAGATTCCTTGGACAGTGGGATGAAATCATATCAGGTATGGATGCGGATGATATGCTTCCTGACAAAGCACTCCGCAACCTGCTATGGGATAAGATTAAGGACTCCAAAGTTATGGCGTTAGACTTGTCCGTGTACGATAACATGTTGGACAAGGATCCGGATAAGACCTACCAGAAGTTACGAGAGATCATGGCGAAGTGGATACGGAAATCAATCGAGACCACAAACAAGAAAGAGAGGGAAAAGGCCTTTGGGAACCTCGTGAAAGCCACACCAGCAGCGGAGAAGAAGGATCCTAAGGCGAAACCCAAGAATACCAAGGCCGATCCACCGAAAGACGCCGCTCCGGTACTTCCTCAGGCTAATCCGAAAGATCACGTCAAGAAGGACAGGAAGCAGGAGCGTGGAAGATCAACCACGAAGAGCCCAAAAGGAGATCGTGGCAGGTCAGCGACTCCAGCAGATACGTCCAAGATAGGATGCGCCTTCCACTTCTATGGAAAAAACGGGTGCTCTAGAGGAGACAAATGCAAGTTTAGTCATCAAGAGAAGCACAAGAGTTCTGCTAAGAAACCAGAAAACCTCAAGGGTGACAGATCAAAGAGTCCTGGTGGTAGGAGCACTAGCCCTAAACCAATGAAGGATCAGGTCTGTTGGAATTGGCAGAAAGGATCATGCAAGTTCGGGGACAAATGTCGTCGCCAGCATCACGCTGCTCCTGCTACGAAACAAGAGGCTAAAGGTAAAGCCAAGCCCAAACCGGCTGCGCCAGCCTTCATGCTTTGCGGAGACATCGAGAGTGATGGAGAGGACGTGCAACCCGCACTTCCCAATGTACAGCAAGGTAAATTGGCGCTTCGCTTTAAAGTCAGATTCGATGACCGGGTGGATGTGACCACATTTACCTGCGATCCTGGTAACGAGCTAAATACCCGTCCCCTCAAGAAGAAGAAGGACGAGGTGCAGAAGGTGGATACCGAGATCATTTCGTCGTTGAGAACCCTCAGAGTGAACAGCATAGCTGCACGAGTAGCGCATGCCAAAGGCAAGATGATGGAGCTATACTCTGCTGAACACATTGCCAAGGCATGGATACAAATCACTCAAGATGAAGGAATCGAGGTGAACGTCGACCTGTCTGACTTCAACACCAGCGAGGTAGTAAGGAAAGATTCTGTCAACTACACGATACCGGGAGATACGATGTTCATGGCCGTGGAGAGGTATGACGGGCCACCGATACGCTTCATCATGGACACGGGATGTGGGCACGACTTGATCTCAAGAGAGAAAGTCAACGCCATGGGCCTTACCACTAAGGAAGGACCCAAATCCGTGAGCTTCATGACAGCGAATGGAGTAACTAGTACATCGGAGATGGTGGACATCAATGTGGACGAACTACCCATGATGTCCGAGGCACACGTGTTGGAGAGTACACCATCAGTCTTCTCCATCGGGAAACGGTGCATGGAACAAGGGTATTCATTCATATGGCCGGCGAATCATTTGCCATACCTCATCGACCAAAACGCGAACAAGATCCCGCTATCAGTGCATGACAACATACCCTACATCAAGGTGAATGATGATGACGGGAGATGTTTACCAAGATCAGACGGCTTGGCCACGATACTTCATCGCATATTGTCAGGTGTGGAGCTTGGGGACGAGGCCACAGCAGGTCAGGAGATACAACAGGAGGAACCTCCGCCTAAGAAACATCGAAGACGGAGGAGAAAGAAGAGAGATAACCAGAGAGATCGGGGTGATGAATCTGATATCAATCCAGCCGTTGTAGGCGACGAAGGAGAACCAGAGGAACACGGTGATGACGGATATTCTCCGGAAGAAGGATATGACGGGGAAGACCCGGGGATCAATCGTGACCTCGATGGCCAACCTGAAGAAGCCGAAGACGACGAACATGGAGGTGATGCGGATTCTGAACGAGAGGAGAGTGACATTGGTGAAGACGAAGAGGGGTTATTGGAAGTCGATGTGGTCGATGGAGAAGCTAGACTGTCAAAGCCCGGAGTGCTGAAGAATGAGGCGAGATCCATATTGCACCTGATGACGCACCGATATAAGAATCCATACTGCAAGTCATGTGTGAGAGCGAAGATGAAGCACTACAAGACTAGCAAGGGAGCTTTCAAACGAAAGTTGAAGGCATTCGGTGACCTTATCACCTTTGA